TTTCCAACGATGCGTAATATCTTTTCACGTTTGTTAATATAAAACTTAAGGAAAAATTGATTCACGATATCTTCGACGATTATTCGTCGTACTCGAAATATCGAATTTTCAAAATATTGTGTGACTATACTTGAAGAGTAAGATTCTTTCGATAATGTAATCTTCAATATTTCGAACATTAGCGTTCGCTCGAGGAAAAATGAGTTTTAAGTTTTAATTGGAATAGCGCAATTAATCAATCAACGCCAGTATCCATTTCCAATAAAAATTTTTGCGAACACTTCTCGACAGGTTTTTACTCTCAAATAGATTTGCATCGGCGAAAAATCAAACTCTTTCGCTTTCGATTCACACCCACTAGGTTCTAATCTCCATTTGCGAGAAATAGTCTCGAGGATAAATCTCGAGGAAAAACTCTTTTCACTTTTAAATGTAAGACTACTTTTAATTCTTAAAGCTTGCACGAGTTTCTCTTCTTACAATGTTTCTTATTACAATTGAATATACTGTATTGATGATATTGAAACTCTTCGAAAGCAACTCCATAAATTGATAAAAGAAACGAGGAAACTTTCTTTGTCTACAAATTTTCTTTTTTTTTTTTTTTGCAGACGAAGCATTACTCTTTATTTTTCTTTTTTTATTTTACAGTTACAGTCGAGTCCCTTTTCTTTTCTTGTTTTTACCCAACAAAACGATGAGAATCGTCGTTTGCACGGGAATATCGTTCGCGTTAAGTGTAGCATTAAACTTAACGTGGCCGAAAATGCTACGCTGTTCGTCGAAAACGTTTGTGAAATGCATCGAGAATGTTCATCACGAGTCTCGTGGCCGGAATCAGGACAGGTTGTAATGGAGACAGAGAAAGAGGGGAGCCTTTATAAAATTGTAGCTCGAATTTCAACGTCGCTTTGTTGCTCGGCATTCCTCAATGGCGGAATATCTTCCGGGTATTTAACTAATTTCACTTTGATACATTGACTGGATTTTGATGTTGCTCTTTTCTTTTCTTTTTTCCTTTTTATTTTATATTTTTTTTTATTTTTCTGACGTTCTTTCGAAAGCTTGATAAATTTCTTGATAAATGAAACGTTTTACGTTTGAATATACGAGTTAGAACGAGTTTTCATTTCGTGATCGATACTTTATTGTTCTGCTTGGATATTATTGCGTTTTTATTCACTCTTCTTTCTTCCACGTACGAAAAAAGAACGATCACGAGCATTACAGTAATCTGAGAATATATAAAAATTTGCATAACAATTAAACTAAAATTTTTATACGGAAATATAGAAGTAAAGATTTTAAATATCAAAATATATATGTATTCTATTTTGGACATTTTGCGTTGTGCATTCTATATTTTAATTTTTTCCCATAAATACATTATTTAGTTCATAATTAATAATATTACAATCAGTGAATAGAGGAATAAAAAGTTTTTACAATTTTACATTATCAATAAGGATGATAAATGTGTACGAAAAAATTGAAATCGTAAAGAAAAATATTACAAATTTCAGAGATAATGAAAGTGCGGAAAACTTGATTTGAAATTTATTTCACGTATTATTAATCGGATTTAGCGGCAAGATTTTACTTGAAATCACAATGCGGACCAGTTTCCATGAAAATTCTTATTATTTATGCTAATTAGAGAACGGACGTGGCTCGGAACTAATTAGACGCACCTCCAATTTCCCTTGACTGGACGTGTTCGCTAGTAATTACTCTGACATCAATCAAGCCAATATTAAGGGGTGGCTACATGTGCAGCTACATAATATATATCATTACCAAATATACTGCACAACATATATTCCAACAACTGTTCATCGATACACTGCTTGAAAGAATATCATTTGGCACGGTTAACGCGAGTATTCAGTGGTTCTTTTTTTTTTTTTTTTTTTTCATAAAAATTCAATCCGATATTCAGATTATTTTTTAAAAAAAAAGTATGAAATTTTTATTCCACACTTTTATTTCAATTTTTCGTGGCAACGGTGAAATAATAAGTTTAATAGGATTTGCAACAAATTTTCATTGTCGCATCGTCAAATTTATTCTCTCGTGTATTATTGCGAATTGTTCGCAAGTTTATTACAACAATAAGGAATTACGGAAGATTATAAAATGTAGAATGGTACAACCTATAAATTCAATTTTTCTTGTTACATTTTTGAAACGCGTACGAGAAATTTATAGATCGACCTGACTTTATCTGTCGATTTCTCGTGAAATTTTTTTAAAATCGAAAATCGATCGGTGGTAAAAATAGTACATCATATCGAATTATTGAATAATTGATCCGAGATTCTACCCTTAGCTCGACACACTTTCGTATCTGTTTCTCCTAAAATTTTATGGTAATGTTTTCTTAAGTAGGAAATTAAGAAAATTTCGAATGATAATGAAGTGGAAATGCTGAAGATTAAAATCTACGTTCATCGAACTCGGTTTTCCTAAAATTTAAAAGCGAAAATTAGAAATTTCAAATAATTGGGAATAGCTAATCAAAAGTTTCTTAAACTCTATTTTTCCAAAAATTTTATAATAGTAACAAAAAGAAAAATTGCAAAATACAAATATTAGAATTTCAATTTTAATCGTAATCAAGATTTCATTGTCAAAATATAATTTTTCAAAAAAACGACAATAATCTTTACAAATATATAAAACCAACAAACTTCCTTCACAAGATAAGAATTGCAAATTGTAAATTGTTAAATACCTAGATAATTAAGAATAAATCTTCATTGCCATCCAAAAGTTTCACAATAATATTTTTTGAAAAACCAACTGAAACGATAATTCCATGCCATCTCGCAAAGATCATCCGACCGCCAATACGAGAACTCAAAAAGGTGTGATCACGTCGTGATCGAAGCGGCAACGATAAATACAGACACTTGAATGAAAAAGGGGGTAAATATTGGGGCAAACGTCGAAATTAGCAGACTTGGAGTTTTATCGAGAAGGAGTTTTCCATATCTCTCGCAATTTCGCCCGACCAATTCCTTTTCTCGTCGGTGTAACCGACGTAAAAACCGAAATTACGTGAAATACGCTCGTCGATCTTTATATCAGCCCAGTGGATCGTTAATGATTTTCGGTGATTTTTGGGAAAGGCTGCGATCGATTTTATTAATTCGAAGGTATCGGCGAATCGTGTTTATCCATTGATTCGCGTTTTTGTTCGCACGTTTGTTCATAATGCAATGGCGCCATTTCGCCGTAAAGTAATATTCCCGATTCCATCCAGCGTGCTTTTTAGCGGGATTTGTTTGCCCTCGAATATATTCGTAATTATAAAATATCGTCGACGATAGAATGATTTTATAATATACGGGGGGGAATAAATGTATCTTTCTTATTGCAACATGGTGGAAAACATGGTTGAGATAAAACTATTTCATATTTTTCCGCGAAGCGAAACAATGGAAATAATTTTCATAATTTTTAAATGGATCGTTTTAAAAAATTTGAAACGTTTTTCTTTTTCTTTTTCTTTTTTTTTTTTTTTTCTCTCTCTCTCTAAGTAAAGCGGCGAATTTTATTTTTATATATTTTTCGTGAAAGTACGTTTTTCCGTGTATCTTTTAACTCGTTGCTTTCGAAGCTTTTCATCGTGTTTATTCATTTCCCCTTTCCAATTTAATTGTTTGCTCCAAGTTTTTAAACTTCTCATTTCTCGTCCGTCAACAAATTTGAAGTATCGATGATTGGATGAGTGAAAAATATAATTTTAATATAACAAATCAATATAACTTTCCAATATAAATTACTCGCAATATAAATAATGATCCCTCTTTCTTGAAAAAGCGTGTCAATAAAATTTAACGAAAATAGAAAATAAAAGAAACGTAGAATAAATTTATTCTATATTCGTAACAATTATATTTTCGACGATATATACAAAAATATAACTTTAACAAATTAACTTAACTTCCCTATAAATTATAACAAGATTATTCGCCGCGTAAGAATTTCCTTAAAAATTAGATTAAAAAAAGAAATTATAAAATAAATTTATCCTATATCTACAATAATTATATCCGCGACGATATTACATCGCCCATTGCATGGAACGATAATTAACAAATTGACAGACACCCGAGTCGAAAACAGAAAAAAAAAAAAAAAAAAAAAAAAAAAAGAGACGTATTCCAAGCTCTGATAAAAGGATCACAGACGCCAGACGCCGATATTAACCGATGAAAGCAGCCTGTAATCGAGAGGGGAGGGGAGGGCTGTGATGTGATCAAAGGGTTGGGGAAAAAATGTTTTTCCCTTCCCGATGATCAACCCACCCGAAATGAATCGCGCGTCCCTCAATTAACACGTGATCATATAATCCGCGAGATTAACCGATTCCATGGAAAATCGGCGTGGCTCGGTATTTAGAGGTGGCGAGACGGTGGCTAACGATCTCATTAGTTTTGTGCCGTGTTATGGAGAGAGAGATGGTAGACAGGTCGATCTCTCCGTTTCTTTTTTCACTTTCTTTTTTTATTTTTTTTTTTTTTTTTTTTTTTTTCATTTAGAATGGAATCTCTCTCGTTAATTAATTCGTCGCAGCCACGGTGGCAACAAGCGTCTTTCGGACAATTCGGAAGGACGAATCTCATTAAGTCATTCTGCGCAACGTGGCCGACTCGTTACGTAGACGGGGATCGTTCTTCGTTGAAACCGTGGCGCGTTTCAACTTTTTGATCGAGGGGATACCCGTCGATCGTGTCTCGAATAATTAAATAATTGAATAATTCGCCGGGTTTAATTTGGAGATTTTGCGTGTTTATATTGCGAGATTTTGGAAATAATTTCGAGGAAAGATCGTATAAAAAAAAAGGATGGTGAAATCGTGACGACAAGGAAGGTAAGAATCTAGGGATAAACGGATAAAATGATCTTACTGTATCACTTTTCGACGTTGCATTCGTCGTACCCGAATCACGTTCGAGGATAAACCGGCATCCGGTTACATTCTTCTGTTCCAGGCGATGAAGATGAGCAAAGTGGGCAACCAGACCAATTCGCAGGACCCACAGGCGGTGAATTCCCGGGTTTTCGTCGGGAATCTAAACACGTTCCAGTGCAGCAAGACCGATGTGGAGCGAATGTTTCAGCGTTACGGCCGTCTGGCAGGTAAGGTTCCTTTTTCCGGTGAAATCACATAAACGAAAGGCAGGATCAGCCCCCGTATACCCTGACATTTTCTTCGAGATTCTTTCGTTAGAGTCACAAATTAGATTTTTTTTTTTCTTTCTTCTTTCTTTCTTTCTTTTTTGTGGGAAAAGAGGAGGAGGAGGAGGAGGAGGAGGAGCGTAAGGGATCGAGGTGGATTGAAAATTTATTTAAAAATGCTTCGTTCTATTTCGGGAGTATATTTAGTTGGAGAAATTATAAATTATATTGTTTCGAATTATTGAAATTATATTGGAAATGATTTTGAAGATTTTGCGTTGGAGATTTTCAATAATATACGACGATTGGAAAATAATTTTGCGTCGCGGAATATTTTTTTTTTTTTTTCTGTGAATGTTGAATGAAAATTTATTATAATACGTGAATACGTATTATAATGTATATATTTCAAAGTTTTGTATCTTTGAAACGAGGGAAAATTTATGTTAAATATTATTACGCGATATCTTTTGAGTGGTGTAATAAAAGTTACTTTACGAAACGTAATAATTATGCAAACGGGGCTAAAAAAATGTTGAAGATAATTTCAGGAGAGATAGGATTTTCCTTGAAGCGATTGAAAATTTATTTAAAGTGGTGGTACGTGATATTCTTTGAATGATAAAGCTATTTTACGAAATATAATAATTATAGAGATATTTGATTTCTTTTTTTTTCTTTTTTTTTCTTTTTTTTCTTTTTTATATGTATTATCATTTCCTCTCCGTAATTTCACGGTAGAACGAGAATTTATTCATAAGAGATTAAAAATGAATTTTTGCGTGAATCGAGCTTTCTGATAAAAATTAATACAAACCTACATTTTTCGTAAAGAGGATTATACGTTATTTTCGTTTTTTAATAACAAATGATCGAAATATCAAAAAATATGAGATAATCTCTCAAACAAAATATAACCTTATATAAAATCAAAAATACTAAAAATAATCTAACATATACATTTGTATCATTCGTATATTATTGAAAATCTCTGTTTCAAATCCTCCAAAATATCCATTCAATCGTACAAATATATTTTAATAAATTAATTCTTAATTCCATTTATCTATAACAATTTCAATAATCTTAACCAAAAAAAACAAACAAACAAAAATTTGAAACGAAGAAACGAATTACTTTCCACGATCATTTAATAAATCATTATTTAAAAAAAAAAAAAAAAGAACAAAAATTCCAAATACATTCTAATAACTTTAATTCCAGATAAAATACCAATATTCCCATAGTTTCAACGATTCCAAACACAACGATCTGACAAAACGACAAAAAAAAAAAAAAAGACAAAATTCTATAGTTCGTACGAGTTCGAATCGAGAACAAAAAACAAAAAAAAAAAAAAAGTGAGAGAGAAAAAAAAAAAAAAAAAGTCCCTAAGGTATTTTTTTAAAATAAAAAAAAAAAAAAAAAAAAAAAAAAAGAAAGAAAGAAACAGATACAAAATACCGTTTTGCAGCGTTAGCCGCGGGATCAGTTGGACGGGGGGAAAGTAGGAAAAGTGGAAAAGCACGGTGTGTAGTTACAAAACTGGTTGGCGAAGTTGAGAAGATTCAAAGATCCCTGGCTCGGATAACGGGTAAAGAGTCGCGCTGTTATCCGGTATAAAAAGCCGGGGGTTGGGGCACGGGGAGAAAAATAGCGAGTTGGAAATAGGATTTTCTCGATACGCTCGGGGTCCTCGGTAACCCAATTTGTGCCGTGATAGCTCCTTGACCTTCGATATCCCGATTGGATATCCGTCTCCAGTTTCACCACCGATGACTCCCGACTTGCTTTCACTGTAACGCTAACTTCGTTTCGGGCAACGTACTTTATTGGAAACCGGGTAAATCCGGTGTGTGCACGCGCTCGGGAGAGAGGGAAAAAAGAGAGAGAGAGAGAGAGAGAGAGAGATCGGTCGATTGATGGCACGAAGATTGAGTTTCTCGTTAAAATCGGTTTTATCGCTGGGTTAGTCATTTTCACAGGGGAGGATAACTGTCGTTTGCTCGAATTTTTTTAAACGAATCGCGATAATAACGACGGAAAATATTTGTATTTATATATGTATGAGAATTTTTCGAACGACAATTCGGACGAGTAGAAACTCTTGATTCCCTGATTGGACGAGAAAGAAGAGACTTCTATAAGCCTAATATAGGAACAATCTAGATAATTTGCAAAGAAAGATCACTTGGAAAAATCTTCGAAAATTTCCAAATGTTTTATTTGTTCCAAAAAGAAATTGCTTTTTTTCTTCTCTTTTCTTCCGCATTAGAACTCAAGTAGGTGCGCAGATGTCGTTCAAAGATATTTCTTGAGTTAATTTAGCGGAAAGTTGAAGGAGCGTTCGACGAGCAGCAACGAGGATAGTATTTCATTAGTAAAAGTATCACACTTTTACCGATGGCGCAAGTTTCGCGAAACTCGGTCCCCGCTTACACGAATTTCGAGTTCCTTGGGAGTCTGTTGCGTACAGCTGTCACTGGTACAGCGATGCGATCCGTGTTTGGTGTTTCTGGAAGCAAGGAAAATTAAAGCGCAATCTATGACGTAGTTTCCTTACGCGGAGTCGTGTAATGCGTCTCGTGTAACGCCTGTAACGAAAACTTTCCCCGTTTAAATTTAAATAATTCGATTCCACTTGCGATACCACACACACGCGACGTGCTCTTATTATAATTTCTCGCGAGAATTCATTCAATTTCGCTATATTGTCCGACCGAATCGATCTTGCAATATCCACTTAATCGAATTATTTTAAAACGTTTTATTTATTTATTTATTTTTCTTATTATATTATATATAATATTATATATAATATTACATATTTATTTATTATATTATATATTATATTATATATTATATCTTTAGAAATATTATATTTATTTATTTTCTTTAAAAGTTTATAGTAACAACCAGTTACCCTGGTAAATAATAAAAAACCCAAAACAACCGAAACTCTACGACGAGACCCTCCACTCTCGATATCAAATACAGAAGAATCTCAATAAAAAAAAAATATCTCTCAAGAAATACTTCTCCTCCCTTCCATATTTCAATAAAACGAAAAAATCCTAATAAAAATATCCCGAATTTACGAAACCATAGTTTCTTTTCATTCAAAATGAAGTCAAACGTCTCCCTCGAAACGTGTTTCGTTCAGCGTCAAACGCAGAATTAGCTCGATCCTTGGATCGCTTGGACGGTTCATCGGAGGGGAGGGGAGGGGAACACTCTCAGCCACAGAGAACTTGGAAATAAAATTAAGCTGCAGTCCACTCGATGGACAACACTCGGCCACAATCCGGAACGGGTCCCACTTGACCCGCGCAATCTGCCTCGTACAGCTGTCACCCAGGGAGGAGGGAGGGGGAAAGATCAGGAGGGGTAGGGATGCGGTCTTATCCGTCGAATCGAACCACCCCTTTTAATTCATCCACCTGGCAAGTTTGCTCCGTAAAGTTGGGGAGCGGACGCTTGCATTGTCGCTGCATTTATTGTCTGGCCCGGTTTATCGAGGAAGCTGGTGAAAGTAAGCTGTTTATCGCCAGTTACCAGACAGCACGCTGTCCTCCGACGAGATCTCGGTCGGAGGTTTGCTGCCTCTCAGATTCGTGGAAGAATTCGGGTGGAGGGTGAAGGATGCAGACTGACCCGTGACTGAACCTTGGACTTGACTGATAATGCGGCCCCCGCATTTAATTGTTTCGAATTAGTATAGAGAGCCTTTTTTTCTTTTTTCTTTTTTTTTTCTTTCGTTTCTCGAGAGCTCATTTCGGGATTCTTTGGGTTCTCGTTTTGGAACTTTCTTTTGTCGGTTGGAAGGTTTCTCGGGAGGTTTCTGTTTTTTTTTTTCTCTTTCGTTTTCTCGTGGGGATTGGTTTTTTCGAACGACTTTGTTTCTCGAACGATTTCGAAGGAGAAATTTGCGTGAATGAATTTATGGAAAATTGGAATTGGACGAAAATAGAATGGTACGTGATACATCCAAGAGGAAGATAGGAAATTAAGTATAATATTATAAAAGTATTGATATTTGAGAGGAAAAATTTGAGACAGAAATCCGCATAAAAAAGGATTTAAATTATTTATAATTTGATAAATAAAAATTTTTTGTATATCACTTCAAAAATATGAATATATTAACATTTTATATACTTGTATCCAAATTTTATTATTCAATTTTGATATTAAATTGTGATCCAGCGTGTGTATCTGATAAAATGAAGTATTCCATTTTCCTTTCTTTCTTTTCTTTATCTTCTTATAAATAACACAATTTTTTTCTAACCAATCGATCTACTGATACCAAAATATATCAAAATATATCAGATGAGAAACGATAATCGAATTAAAACAAAAATTCTCTCTCTCTCTCTCTCTCTCTTTCTCCATTAAAAATTAATACCGCAACTTTAATCGACTCCATGAAAAGTTGCCTCGCATAAATACACAACTTAATCGACATCCCAGTTCCCATGAACGTATAATCTTCTTCTACTAATCGTCGCTCTACTGTAATTAAATCGACAAATTAACTGTATTAAACATTTTTCGGAATGAAAAAAGAAGAAGAAAAGACAAAAAAAAGGACAAAATTTCAAAACTTTTCAAAACTCTTCCCTTTTCTCTTTCTCTCTCTTTCTCTCTCCCTTTCTAAACTGACCCAAATGCAGGATAAGCAAGTGCCTCCAACTTTTCCACCCGTCCGCTTTTCAACCCCATCCGCATCCCTGTCCCCGATTTACCCTGCCGAAAAAAACGACATCCGGATCTCAGTTGTGTTTTATCGTCAATCAAAGAGACGATGGCTGCATGCATAAATTGCGCGGAAGGGGAGTTGAGCGCTCATTTTTCCGTCGAATCAAAACAAAAAAAAATAACAAAAAAAAAAAAAAAACAGCTTTCGTTATTCGAAATTGAATCGGTTCACCGATGATTCCATCGGTTTCGAAGCGAAATCGACGTGGATATCCTCCCTCCCTTATTTTTCCTTTTAATTCGATTCTCTCTCTCTTTTCTACGCGGGCAAAAAACAAGCTGGGATATATGTAGATTTCCGCGTTGGGAGAAACAAGAAATATCGAGTTACTCGAAACAAAGGCCGAGTTTTTCCATAGTTTTGAATCCATTAGAGGAGATATCGGTGCGAATCGTTGCAATTATTTCTGGTTTGGTTTGGTGGTGATAGTGGGGCGTAAATATTGTTTTAATAGCGTCCTCCGGTTGTGAAAATAATTATATGCGTTTAATTATATCGCGTTTCAGTGAAGTTACATCTGCGTGTTTTTTAGTTTTGGAAAACAAAACTCTTACTTACTTATTTGGCTAATATAAAAAGAAAAAGCGATGGAGTCTAAAAAAGATCGAGATTTCTCTACGAAAGAAAGTGTCACAAAAGGTTCGAATATTGATCGAAATTCCCTAAAGACTACCAATAAAATTTTACAAATTTAAATTATTCGACTATTAACTAATTTCTCACCTCATCACCTGTTCAAACGAGAATTTATTTAGAAATAAATTTCTTTTCAAAAAA